AAAAAAAATGATATCTTCAATTTTACATAATTTTAACACTATAATTTTAAATTGTATCTATTCATCCTTTACGGATATTTATTACTAATATTTCTAAAAAAAGAATACTAAAAAATATAACAAATAAACAAAAAATTATATCTTCAATTTTTCATAATTTTAACAGTATAATTTTAAATTGTATCTATTATACAAGGACGCAAATGTGCATACTCAATGAATGTTTAATATCGATTAATTAAGAAACAAAAATTCACATAAAAAAAAAAGTAATTCTACATTTTCACCTCATCTTTTTATCGTAGAACTGTGTGGTTCGTGTTGAATTCCGTGTTCTATGACATTCTGAACAACGCGAACAATGATTGCATTGACATAGGAACAGTCAAATTCTCTTTGTCCAATGTCAGTCTAATAAAAGTTCCTGAATATTTTATCTCCGTTTTTAAATTGTACCAACCATTGAACAATAGTCAAATAAAAACTTCATTTTACACGTGCATCGATATAAAAAGCATCACGTTTCGTCAGCTTACTTCAATTTTGTTATTTTATTCGTAAATTTACATGAACAAGTAGTACATAATATACATATACTCATTTCATATTTTAAAAAACTTTTGGACGTATATCAACGAAAGTATAAAAAATTTTTACATTTTCAATGTCATTCAGAATTTTATTAATCAAAAAATCGCCTCAGTAATAAAGAATCCAACTTCAATACAAATATACGATATAACACGTGGAATAAAAAATAGCAAATTACTCTCTCCGTTCAATTTCCTTTAATTCGATATACTTATGAGGAACTGGACTTGTAAATTGAAACAGATTACCCCACACGTAATTTTCCAGCATCGTATACGGTGGCCTAGTATACTCGAAAGCCAAACATATAACCGCTAAACGAAAATAGATATTTAGAAAGCCTTTACGGTCAAAAGACAGCGTATAGAGAGAAAAAAAAAAAAGGAAAAATAAACGTTTGAAACAGCTGTATAAGCAGAGAAATTTTCTCCTTCGACCACTTTACCCCGAGAGAGCTCGAAGCGCAAGATGCCACCGCGATCTGCGCTACAAACCTTTTATTTTCGTACGACAGAGTGAGGCGTGTAGGTATACGAGAACGATAGAAGGTCGCCGTCGGGGACCGTCGTGAATGTTCCGTCTATTATGCTCGAAGTACCATATATCCCCTGTGGCGGCGCTGTTGTCGCCTCGAATTTAGTTCGTGAATTATAACGCACGCAGATGTCGCGCAGAGGCGCGTGAAACGCGAGGTTAAGGGAAAAGTCAAGGCGAATCCCTTTCACTGCAAACGCGCGTTTCATCGATGAGCCACATTTGTCCGTGTGTCTCATTGTTTCTCCCATTTTCACGTTTATTTTCTCCGATGTTTCTATACGCGAGAGTGAGAGTGACGCGATTAGAAGAAATATCAAGACGGTCCCGACTACGGCCATACATAGAGGTATAGGCATAAGGCACAGGTAGCCAGTATCGCTATAGAAAACTCTCGAGCTCTTACTCGTTACTGGTTCTTTTTTTATCCATTCGTTTACACTCGATACTCGTTTTTCTCACGGTTATCCTTTCTCTTATTTTCAATTATCTTTCTCGCTGTAACGAGAATACAAGACGGTCCAAACCGGCGTAGATTGGACCGAGCTACGGCAAGCTGTTTTTTTCTTTTAAATTCTTTGTTTTTTTTTTTTATATATATATATATATAAATGAATGAGATATACCCTTTTCTCATGGCATATATAAAATTGTTTATATATGCGACTCGTGGTGTGGGGGCTCAATTTAAACAGGTACGATTCAATTGGTATAAAAAAGAGAGAGAGAGAGAGATAGATAGAGAAAGTGTGAAGCTGCTCTGTGATTTCAGTTGAACCTTTTACGTTCGTCCTCGATGCTCAGCGAGGAATCGACTCGTGCTGTACGATCGATATGCGCGAGCAGAAATAACTGATTAAAATACAGCGAATATAATACTATTCCTGTTTAATTAATTAAATAAATAATTAAATAAAAATAATATTGAAATTTCAAAATTCGAATAATAAAATAATAATAATAATTATATTTTTAAATTATCATTATTACAAAATTCACCATAATACAATTTATTGGAAATATTTATATTATGTTACCGTCCGATTGTTATTCGATGAAAAAATTGGAGCAAAAATTACAAAAAATTAATTCGATATGGACAAATCACGTTCAAGGCTAAAATATGAGCTTTCGTTGAGTTTTTTCACCAACGAGTCGACTCCTCGTTCCATCGAGAAATATGGCTACCGTGATTGGCGTAAGGTTTGTCGAAGGTCCTAGATTTCGAAGAAACAGTCCTCCTACTTGTTTCGATAATTTACAGTGTCTACTATGTTGTTAACTGATCTCTCGTATTCTAATGACATTTGTAGACAAACGTTACGCTAGCATACCCGCGTTTAAACGGCGATGCTCAGGCTTCTTCTAGACAACGGTATAATGGTCGAGTTGTAAAATGCGAATTCGTATCGTGTTCCATCGGCTCCCCGGGATTAATACGTAACCGTAACGATCGATACGTCACACACGCTCAGTTATACGCACGCACACTCGCGGCCAGTCACACTTCTCGCAGACACTGCGCATCGTCGTTCAAACGAAGCAATCGATTCGCGACGAGCGACACTGTTCTCCGACGGTTGCTTAAACTATATCGAAGAATCTATCCGTCTCGTTTCATCTCATCTCGTGACATCTTGCGACGCAACCATGCGAATTTCTCAGAAGCGAATATTGAATTTTTTTTTAGGGGAAGCTGATCGAGAGGAAGGAAGTGAAGCGTGGAACATTTTTCCAGGAACCCGCGTGTCCAGTCGATTTAGAACTGATCGAGGCTCCGTATATACGGTGAGTATAGTAAATGGGTCGAACTGCAACTTTGCTGCTATTAAAGGTAGACAAAAATTGTACAGGAAAAATATACGTTATTTTATGTGGCCTATCATCTACCACCGTGTAATGTAATTTTTTATAAATGCAATTTGAGTACAAGTTGAGTGTGGTACTCAATACGAGTACAACAGACAATATAATTGTAACATTAATACAATTGTATTTGTTTTATTTAAATGGAATCCTACTTTTTTTATTTAAGTCGATTTTAAAGTGACATTTCAAGTAAATATCGTATTAAATATGAAATATTTTGCGACAGTGACTTTTCCCACATTATAACCTAACCTCGCTGTTCAAAATTCTACAAGGAATATACCCGTTGATAAAAAAATGCGAAAGAAGAAATCAAGTTTTATAAAATTTTATAGATCATGTTAAGCAGTGCAGAATTTTTTCAAAATTTTCCTTTTTATCTTTAACAGAACTGAGTTATAATCCGGCCCAGTTACTAAGCTCACCCTGTATACACTCGACATCGTTCATCGCGCGGTTCCACAAATGCAACAGCGTGGTAGCTATTCTTATAATATGCAGAGTATTGCCTCTGATATTTCTAGCAAACGCGTTCGTATTATTTGTCGATAATATTGAGGTTAATTATTATAACGCGAAAAATCTTTTTTTCAGTATGTAAATTAACCGAATTAACGCGTAATATTGATTACACGTGATAATTAATTTTGAATATGCAATATTCATTTTCACGTCGAATATTTAAAAAATAAAAATTTTTTGAACCAGATTATAAGATACTCTTTATATTTAAATTCTCTGCGAATATGTATGGCATATCTAAAAATATATACAGTAAAACCAAAAAGTGAGAAATAAAAATTTTAATTAAAAAAATAAACAAACATTTTTAAAAGAATTTACAATAAGAAATTAATACTATCTACTATTAATACAATTAATAGTATTAATAATATTATACTATATACTATAATACTATAATACTATTAATAATATTTTCCTTTTTTATTTTATTTATAACAACACATGGTAAATAAATGCTGTATTGTATAGTTAAAAATGGAAAACAATAACAAATAATATGTTTAAAAATTGTGTCTCGAATTTTATTATCATTTTATTATATTTATTATATTCATTATATTCAGTTCTAGGCCAATAAACAATAGTGAAATTTGAAAGGAAATGATTCAGTCAACGATTTTGAATCACACTAATAAATAAAAAATCTAAACGATCTGAAACGATATACAAAAGAGAAATTCGCATTATGTACGAAATGAAACGAACATCTCATAGTCAAACAGATAAAACAGTGTCTGCAATTTATTTTACAGTACATGAAGTCTAGTCGACCAGAGAACATTGCGCACTGTCGAAATATTCACCGTTTTGTGTGTCTCAAGGATAATAAATGTGTAGATGTTACGAAAATCTGATCTGCCGATTCATGGCGAGATCAGGGTTCTACTCTAACGAGACGAATTCTGCGAAACACTTAAACCACTGATCGAATTCATCGCGTTCAAAATAAAAAACAATACTTATTTTAATCGACAAAAATAATCAATAACAAACAACGAAGGTAATAATCAAAATACCATTAAAACGTAATTAACAATCCTAATATTAAATTATTAATATAACACGATGATACAAAAATAACATACACACATTGAAATTATAAAATTGCCATCATAGCAATGATGTTTCAACGTCTCCAAGGATAATCACATAATAGGGCAAAGAAAAGATATTTCCTAGACATATACACATAATCGGAAAACGGCAGCAGCATGTTTTGCAGAATTCGTTTTGCGAATACTCCTCGAGGAAAGACCAAATTGCCTATTCAAACTCGGTCAAGAAATTTTGTATCATACTGGACGTAGAGTGAATCACTCTGAATGGAGAACCTGTAGAAAATAATTTACTTATTAATGTATAGAGGCAATTGGATTTTTCCTGCGAGATTTTCTACACTGAACTATAGAGAGTCATTTATTTCATATAACATATTAAACATAATATTTTAGCTGTATTAGGATACTGTAAAGAAGGCTTACCAAACCGACGAGTAGAAAAAATACTAGGAATGTGCGGCCGACGAGCGTCTGGCAGTAAACGTCGCCATATCCTACCGTGGACATCGTCACGATGAGAAAGTAGACGCAGGTCCAGTACGAAAGCTGTTGAGGGTTCGTGAACTCGAACGGGTCCCCTGAGTTTTCAAGCTGTAAGCAGACAATATTCGAGTTCACAATTTACTGCTGCCTTATCGCGATGCATTATGTACATCGCGCTGTGGAAACACCAGTCAAGTGAGGCTTGTATGACAGGATCAGAAACTTGCTTGCTACCCTCGAGGATCAGTCTGCGTTTAGTCTGTGCCACCTGGACTGCAGTCTTTGGATTATACGTGATTTTTACAGGGTGATTCGCCAGCTAGTGGACTCAAAAGCAGTACTGCATGAGCAGGAACTTGATATTTGAAACTTTACAGCTCGCACATGTGTGACGAGTACCTTACTCCTTACTATCGCAAGTGCTTCACGCTGGAGCCATCGTTCTCATAGTCTAAGTTTTAATTTGTAATCCTTTGTACGTTTTGGTTCTTTTATATGTATATTATTGTATCTAGTTTTTGGCGTATTAAACGTTGGATTGGCCTGCTAGGTAGCCTTACTGATGAGTCCACTAGCAGGCCCAGGACGAAACGCATCCCTTCCTCTTGCTTTCATCCCTCCTAGCACCATCGCCATATCGAGAATACTGCGAACAAGTGACTAACAGCAATGGTGGGGGAAGACCTCTAAGTATGTACGCACACAAATGTAGTTGCTGCGCACACATTCGTCAGATTATCGCGTGAGGACACACAGGGACTCTCTGCTGCGGTGTTCAGCAACATTTGGACCACGTTACTGCTTTTAGTCCTTATTTTTAGGGATCAACCGTTTTCCAAGCTTCTGAAATATTCTAATTTTATTAGACCAGGAGTAAACAGTTGAAATTATTGCAGTTATCTCGAAATAACTACTCGAACCAGTTGTCTAAATCTTTTTAACCCTTTTGCTACGGTGGGCATCGTTGCGAAGTTTCTCCCGTAGAATGAGGCGTAAATTAAATAATGGAAACATTACGATTGTACAGTCTTTGGCATTCAGGGCTAAGTCTTTTGAAGAAAAAAAAAAATAGAAAAGAAAAAGGAAAAGGAAAAGCTGACCATCGCAATAGCGCTTGCGATTCTTTGCACAGAGAGCTAAGCGGAACGCAGTAGCAATCTCGTTTTAATGTTTTACTCAATTTTTGTGGCCGGTGACTATAGTCACCCATCGTGTATAGATGGCGCCTCGTGACCGGTGACTATAGTTACCCGTAGTAGGGAATAAGGGTTAAGTTCACTTGGAATTGCTTCGAAGAAGGTTAAATCTAAGGAAGACAAACGTTATCTTACCAAATGAATGATGCCAGCAGCTGTTAACCAGACGGAGATGAAGATCGATATAAGTTGGGCGAGACGAATGGAACTCGATGTCTTTAGAATGTTTAGGTACTGGAGGATGTCAGGGACCGTCATCAGTCGTAGGGCTCGGAGGAACCTCAGTCCGATCCACGTCCGATCGAGATATATCGACACGAAGGACGGTGGTATCGTAAAGTAGTCCACGAACGAATACATCTCCAGCATGAACCACAGCTTATCACTGGCGGCGATAAACTACCAGGAAACAAATTTTTAATCGTTAAGTAATTTCATTTCTAATACTTCAACTCGAAGGTCTTCGATTTATTAATCTGCTAAGATTTTTCAAGCTTTGCCACGATTTGACCGATTATTTTATTGGTTTATGTAACCTCTCATACATAGGATTGTTATTGTTGTAATATGAAAGCATTCGTTGTAATTTAGAATATTATTATTCTAATAAATTGTTGTAACATAGTACAGCAGTCCCCGTTTTAGTGTCCGCGTCCTGCCCCGTTTTAGCGTCCGCGTTCTTCCCCGCTTTAGCGTCCGCGTCCTTCCCCGCTTTAGCGTCCACATTCTTCCCCGCTTTAGAGTCCGCGACTTCCCCGCTTTAGCGTCCGCGTTCTTCCCCGCTTTAGCGTCTGCGTCCTTCCCCGCTTTAGCGTCCACATCCTTCCCCGCTTTAGAGTCCGCGACTTCCCCGCTTAGTGTCCACTGCTACCATTGAACGTACTCAAACGTGCTGAACTTCAAACGTACCGAGATCAATTGTCAAACAAAACTCGACACCCATCTTTCCCGATTATTTCGAATATTCACATTCTTTTCTTCTCTTTCTTCCAATAGAATTTAATTCGGAAGTTACCTCCCCACAAAAGTGTCTAGATTCGGTCCCGATTGCGGACGCTAAAGTGGACACTACTGTATATTATAACAGAATTATTTTAATATCAAAATATTTATATTACAATAGTGTAATACTATTATTATAATACAAATTTTTTTACTGTGTATTAAAGTAGTATTATTATTGTAATAAATTATTTTAATATGTCAATTTTTTTTAATCTAATAAATTGAGTATTTTTATTAATAGACAGTACGAAAGAAAATGACATAATAATTCAATATGATAGACAAATTATTATAACACTTTGTTATAATTACATTCAAATATTGTTATTAGAATAAATGTAAGATAAGAAAGTGGTGTATTTATTGTGTATGTCTGTTTTGATATATTTGGGTATTTGGTATCCAGGAACCAACTAGAAAGTGTGAAAATTGTTATGAGTGTTTACACTTACGCGTATAAAAAAGTAGACCATAAAAAATATATTGAAAGCTAAGTCTATCTGCTGAGTAATGTTCTCGCTCCACGTTTGGCAACGTTCCACCTCTTCGCTGTAACATAAAATTGTCACATCGATGTTAGGGAATTACATTAAGTTCCTTAACAAATTTACTCGAATTTTGCAAGAAAACAAATGAACATTGGTAACGTAATCGAGAATAGAAAACAACAGTACAATAAGTTCTTTACAGTAAAGTACTCAGTTACGATGCTAGATCATGAAATTAGCAATTATTTTACAAATATTTTGAGTTTATCATAATACGATTAGAGGTAAATTTATTTAATTTATTTAAAAAAAAATTAATTAAATGATTAAGTTAAATAATTAATGCCTGATTATAGTAATATTTATTTCCATAAAATTAAAATAAGCTTCTGTACTCAATTTTGATGCTAGATCATGAAATTAGTAATTATTTTTTAATTATTTTGTGGTTATCATAATACAATTAAAGGTAAATTTATTTAATTTATTTAAAAAAAAATTAATTAACTGATTAAGTTAAATAATTAATACCTGGTTACAGTAATATTTATTTTCATAAAATTAAAATAAGCTTCCGTGCTTGATGCTCATTGTTAATTAGCGGATTTTTGTGCATATATATGTTATATATATATTTTACATACGAATATTTAAATTTTTGATACCAATATTTCTGGTATATATATTTTACATACGAAATATGTAAAATAGATGTACAATATTATGTACCTAATATATGGAAGAAAATTTATTTATTTAAATATTAAAAAAAATATTTTAAAAAATTGGAAAATTTATTTTTCGTAATTTAAACCATGGTATATTATAATAGCATTCTTTCTAAATTGCCTATCTTTGTATACAATTCTTTGTGACCCACCAACATTCACATTTTTCAAAATATCGTACAATATATTATATATATATTACTTACTAATTTACTTATTAAATGTATTACTATATTACTAATATTATATATATTATTAAATAAGTTACTTATTTATTTGTAACAAAGTTTAAAATTTATTCATGGTCTAAAAGAAATAAAATGTACTTCAAAACTATTTATATGATTATTTTTGTTTAAATTTTTCTTCACAATCGCCATATATATTTTCTATATTTCTAATAAATTTTAAATAAGTTATGCATTAGATTATTTTTATCAAAGTTATATTTTTAAAATTCCTTATTGGCGAAACTAATATTTGCCCAAGTCACATAATTTTACCTATTTCCTATAAAAATATGCAATTGCATAAACATCCACAGTTTATTCATTAATAGTATAAACGCTGTCAAATCTACTACTACATTTGCATTTGCGTAACTTACAAATAATTTCACAGCAAATGTAACGTTTTAATTTTACGGAGAAAATAGTTTCCTTACCTGGAGGCATCGATGAAGTATATTATAAGCGATGCTATACTGAGAATGAAAACTAACACCACCTGAAACAAAAAATATTATTCGACGTTAAAGCATTTGATTATATCAACTTCGATAAATAAAATGATAAAAAGTGAAATAAATATTATAATCGAAATATAGACAAATTTAGAATCTTTAAGTTCTCAGGAATTTAAAATATTTTTTAAGCTGGCAGAAAATTCAGTCACAAAATTTGAAAAGAGTAGCAGCTTAGGCGACATTTTTCAAGAGTATATTTCAATATACATATATACATATATGCAGTATCTTTTCTTACAAGTTCTATGCAATATGTAGATCACCCATTTCCTTCTGAATGTATTTTGAAACTACCTTATTTTCCTCGGGAATACAAAATCTAGTATACAGTTTCAATACAAACTCTTGGGGGATATTTTTTAAAATATACTAAAACTTCTATATTGCAGATTTAACGATAAATTATAATAAATTATGTCAAACTTTAGATATGATATTATATTGATAAGAATATAATATTACATTGATAGGAATATTATATTTTATTCATAGGAATATTATATTTTATTTAAGAACGTATATAAGTGCATAGGTGATACATATGAAAATTAATATTTGGTGCTTCTGTTCTTTGAATCTATAAATAATTTTTATTCCAATACTTTTTTATTCAATATCTGAATTTTAATTGACAATATAAATACATATTTCTCTTTTTACTTCAATGGGAAAAATTATTTCAATTAATATAAATAATATAAATATTAAAAAATTTGAAAACCATTTTTACTATATAAATGATGCAAATAAATTTTTAATTCTTATATCTCTGATAAAAATACTCCCAGGAAATTTAAAAATAATCTATGCTTACATTCTCTGAAGTTTCTTTTATATAATAAATTTTGTGCCAATTTTGAACATTGAATTCATTTGGAATTAAGGTCGCAATGAAAATTCAGTGTAGTTGGTAACGGCTTTATTTTGAAACAATTTCGCGTGCAAAACTCGTATCAAAACTTCTGAAACTAATTAAAACCTCGTATTAAAATTCATTTATTAAAATAAGCAAATGGAACAAAAATTGGCCCTCCTCCTCAAAAAAATAATCGTGACAAAGATAATGTCAGCTATAGTAGATAAGAGAATTTCCGAATAGTAGTAATTTCAGAATACTATATACTATATACTATATACCATACTATATTCTTAAATTTTATTATTATATATTGCAGAAAGAATAGTATCGATAACAATGCCATGTATAATATAGTATTTTATAGTATTCTATAGTATTGTGTATCATTTTATAGTACACCACAGTATTCTGCCAAATTTTATAGTACTATGTTTTATAGTGTTTTATGACATCCTATAATTCTATAGTATGTTATAATAACCTATAGTATTCTGCACTATTGCGTAGTATTTTATAGTAGCTCATAATATCCTATATTATTCTATAATGTTTTATGGTATCCCATGGACATGTATAGTATTTATAGTAATTTATAGTACTTTATAGTACTTGTCTTCTTTCTTATTATTATATTTTCTACGATGCTCTATTCATAGAGGAGACTAATACCAACGGCATCTTAATTCATTTACTAATTATAACCGTAAGGTTAAATATATCTGTTGCCACTTCGCTATGACAATAATTAATAGAATCCGTTGAACGTTCGAGAAACAAAATCTGAGAAGAGCGCACCAACTGTTTAAATCGATCCAACATTTGTTACGAAATATCTCACTGGCGAGTTCTGCTAAAAATTGCACAAATATTTCATAGTTCAACGGAAAAAAGGTTAATCGTCGTTGTAAAAATAATAATTAATAATCATTTGTGCTACTTTCACGGAAATTTGAGGCTTCAACGACTAAATGCGAGGGAAGTGACACTTCGGGTTTACTCGTCTACAAGCGTTGACGAGCGCCGACGAGTAGATACATGCTATACTCCAACCACTTTGTTAGCACTTTTCGAAATACACGTCTCTGACGTGGCCGTTTCAAGCGTTGCTTTCGTCTCGCGAGTGTTTTTACTTCCGAGACAAGGGTAAAAGATTCTTTAACCCTTCCGTGACTAGCTGGATACATGTACATGTTCCACTTTGACTTTCAGACTATGTATTACATACCTGATCAATTGCTTCGTCTTAATCACGTATAGCCCGTTCAATATGAAAATGGCGGGACCGCGTTTACGTATTCTTCCTCTTTCCTTTTTCACATAAAATCGTTCCGATGTATTCCTTTGCGCGCGTGTGTTTGCACGCGTGTGTGTATACGTGTGTGCTTCCATCATCTTATTGTTATACATTTTCACATTTACAAATTTCTTATTCTCGTTCTATTTCGTTTACATCTAACCGAACGCCATTTTGCAAATAATATGCAAGATCAATATAGCATTATATCATAACATTAATAAAATTAATACACGCGAAGTAATATTTTATAAAAGATAAAACGAAAGTGTAAAATACAATTTTTTCATTCGTGCATTATTTTTCGAGAAAATTGATTTTGATAATCCGTTGCGAACGTGTTTACACGATTGAATAGTTAAATACGGTTCATTGATATACGTAGTACGTAGTGTCTATCGTGTTGGTAAATATGCTATTCGTTGGAGAATTACGATGGTAAGATAGGGTAACGAGGAATGAGTCGATAAGATCAGAGTTTTACTGTTTATAAGTAATAGTAGCTATTTTAACACTACCAATTATTCAAGATTGGTATCCTCATAGGTATACTAGTGATTAAATAAAACACCGATAATAAAATTTATCTGTTTACTTCCTTGAATCTAATAATTTATAAAAGTAGTACAAAGATTATATGCAAACACAATATGCATTGTATATATTACTTATTGAAACATTTATTAATTACACCGTTACGTACATCTGCAATGAACTTTTAAAATCAATGTTTTCAAAGTGTAAGCTTCGAAGGAAAATATTTTATTTCGTACAGTCATAATGAATTTTCTCCCGCCCACTTGAACTACATTTCCCTTTGCACTCAGAATCCATATTTTGCACCACACCGAGAGAACTTTAAATTCGGAACAGAAGCACTTCTGACAGCGAAACACACTTGTAAACATACAGTAACGTAAAACGTGACGCTCGACTCGATCGCCGATACTCCATTTTAATTGACGGCGCGACCTCAGCGCCACCGAGTTATCACGAGAGTATTTGGAAACTCGTTACACTGCGCAGTGTAAGCAACGGGACACGAGTTACCGAGTGCAGTAACCGTAGGATACGAATATTGGTATATAATGGTTTACGATTAATCTAACCACGAGCAGACAGGAATAGAAATTTCACGTGAAATGAACAGCACAGGTATGCTCGAACGAATGTAAAGGAGACATGAATCTTTTTTATTATTCCATTATTTTCTTTCGCTCGGTTTACTTGCAGGGAAAATGTGGAAAGAAAATATTGGGTAGCAGAGTCATCGATGCAGCGAGTATTTGAGTATACACGTATGCGAACATACACGTGCAGTGCATGCAATTTCTGCGCTATGAGACTTCTCGTTGAAGCGTATATCGCGAGTATCGTGAATAAATAAAGAAGCATGGCTTATGTACTTTAACCGTCGATCGATTTTGGTTGGCTCTGTTCCAGGCAGCAGCTCGTCAGGTACCAAAGAATTTCACCACATGACTCTTAATCGTCATATACATCATCGAAATGAATTTGGCAGATCAAACCCTTAACAGTTCGAGCTCGAGTTTTCACCATCGAATACATACTTGCTGATTTACGATGTTTATCAATTCAGGCTACCCAAGTAACATTTTTGTTTTGAAATGATCGCAATTATTGCTTAAATAGCAATATAATTAACCCTTTGCACTCGAGAGGCACACTTCAGTCGCCATTTGATAAAATTTCGAAAATCGATAGTAATTAATATGTCAAATTTCAAATAATTATTACACAAGTTTATGAATTAAACAAAATAATAATGTAAGTAAATACAGAGGAAATAAATTACAACTTCCAAGAAAAGAGAATAAATGTAACAATAAGATAAAAATAAAAAATAATAAATTACATCGTGAAAAGAAAATATAGGGAAATATTAGTGAAAACAAAATATTGACAATACTCTTTTTAGGATAGGAAAATAAGTACTGTGATACTAATTTAGTAATAAATATTTCTAGTTAATTACTAATGTATTAAGATCATTAACCCTTTGCACTCGAGAGGCACACTTCAGTCGCCATTTGATAAAATTTCGAAAATCAATAGTAATTAATATGTCAAATTTAAAATAATATAACAGTGTGCGAGGTATCGAAATTAAATAATTCTACGTGTTAATTATTATACGATCTCTTGCTTAGTACTCAAAAAAATATCGTCAGCTTTATAGCAGAAAATTTTTCAACTCGTACTCTTCTTTAACCAAAAGATCGTCGAGTGCAAAGAGTTAAAAGATAATATAAGAAGATTAATGTAAAAATTAATTCACAGATAAAATTCGAAAATTATATAGAGATGATTGTCATTATTTATTATAATTATTTTTCATATTTTTATCATCCTTTTTATACCATTTTATAACTCAATTATTCATTTTTACCAAAGCTTGTATTGAAAGCTCTATATTTTATTTTCAAAGTGCAATTAAGCAACAAATAATTGCAAAAATATTGAATGCCATGTATAGATCTATTTTTCCACAATTAAATCTCATCTATAAGTGAAATAGGATATTTGAAATATACAGTTGCACTTTATTTGGTATTTTTTAACTATTTTCTGTAATTAGGAATCATTCTAGGATGAAATATTATTTTTAAGGATTAAGATGTTAAAAGAATTATATAAATATGTATATGTAATTATAATGAAGATATGAAAAGCTATTTGTATATTTTGAAAAATTTTAGCTTTTTATTTCTTCGACTAAAATATTGTTCAGTTTCCAATATTAGGTTTCTAATACTAATACTAATGATGTTTTTATAAATATATAGGTTTATAAAGAAAAAGTGACA